GCTACACAGAAAACAGGGGGGTGAGGGCCTGTATGGGTGGAGGCGGAGGGGTGGGGGAGAGCTATAAGAGGTCAGTGTGAGAAAAATGGGGACATATGCAATACTTTCAACAATAAAGTTTTTTGGTTTTTTGGTTTTTTAAGTCTGGGCATTCAGAGAAACTCAAATAGTTCGATCCATACTATTAGATTCTTTGTGAGAACCTGAACATCCAAACTTCCTAAGCCACTTAAAACGGGGCCCTATTTCTGTCTGGAAATGAAGGAAATGTTAGACAACGAACAAAGGGTTGAGAACGGAATTGTGTAACAGATGAACTCAGAAAAGATCTCAGGGGAGAATCTGACAATGTCCTCAAGGGGTGGGGGAGAGGTTCAAATTCTTTTCCTGCAATTGACGGCTGTGGGATTTGGGTGGGGTGGGGTGGGGGCAACATGCGGCACTGGCTGCCTGTGGGGAGGGGGTGACCCCCGCTGGAGGCCTGTGTCAGGGTCACAGTCAGGGAGCATTAGCTGCAGAAAGGCCAGGAGGAGGTACGGACGGAAAACATGGGTTCCCAGGGTTTATTCTAGTGGAGATGAGGGGGCTGAAGGGAGCTGACACCACATGGACTCAATTTTCTGTATAAAAACCAGGTGAGGTCATCCAACAAGTGTCAGTGTTGGGGGAGGGCGAGAGCAGAATGGAAAACAGAAAGAAGTCAGGCGCATTTTGAAGTTTCTAGCCTTAAATGGGGCAAGGGGTGGCCAGGCAAGGTAATTGGTGATGTGTTTTGTTTTTTAAGTTGAAGTCACAGATCTGCAAAGGGGAAAATTCAGGGTGTTTGTTCATTGTCATTGATCTGAATTATGATTTAACTAGAGGCCCAGTGCACGAAATCCGTGCATGGGTAGGGTCCCCGGCAGCTGCCAGCTGCTGGCCGGGGCCTCCCTTCACACATGCCTTAGCCTCGAGCCGCTGGCTCACCTGCTCCACCATCCTTCCATGGTCCTGCTCTCATCAGGGCTCATCAGGGCCGGCAGCACCTCCACTGCCACCGGCTGCCATCGCCACATCGCCAACACCCTCCATATCCTGCACCGCCCCCTGGTGGTCAGCGCACGTCTAACTCCTGGTGGGTTGAACTCCTGCCCATGGGGACAATTTGCATATTAGCCTTTTATTATATAGGATTCCTGTTTTTTAAATTGCTGCTCTATGTAGTTAAAAATCTTTCAATGTTATGAACTTCACCTGATTTCCTTGGGCATCTAGAAAATTGCAAGTATTTTGCTCTGGCCAGTTAGAGCTCAGTTGGTTAGAGCATCCTCCCGATTTGCCAAGGTTATGGGTTTGATCCCTGGTCAGGGCACATACAAGCATTAACGAGAACCACATCAAAATTAGAACTAAAATACACAATAACCATCTTTCAGAACATCCTGAGAGCTGGCTGAATGGAAGTCCCACAACTAGAGAAGTAAAGAAGAAAGCACATCGAGACTGGTGGGAGGGGTGGAGGTGTGAAACAGGTTGGGTTGGCACCCAGGTGTGGCATGTTTTTAACAGGGAGGGGTGCCTCTGCTCCAGAGGCCTCCTTTGAGAAGCAAGGGGTCCCAGCCCCTCATCAGACCCCTCAACCTGGGTTCCAGAGCTGGGAAGAGAAGTCCCTGTAACTTCAGGCTATAAAATCCATCAGGGATTATGGCTGAGTGACAAGGAGGCTGTAGGAGACCCAGGCAGTGCCTCTTAAAGCGCTGGAACAGGAACTTACTCAGTCTGGGTTCCAGTGTTGGGTGGCAGCACTGGGGGAACCAGAGGCACATGGGGGAGGACCTGGATTGTCTGGCATTGGGGCAGGAACTTGGTCTCTGTCTTTCCCTTTCTCTTTCACTCTCTCTAAAAATCAATGGAAAAATATCCTCGGGTGAGGATTAACAAAATTTTTTTTAAAAGGGCAGAATTCTACATCTCCACCCCTCTATCTTTCTTCTCCCCTCCCTCCCCATTTCCTTTCCCTCTCAAATTCTCCAGAGATCTGCAGAGAGA